ATATATATATTCATATATAATCAATAAGTATAAGAAAAAAATTGCTTATAAATTATTTAATTCTTTATTTAGTAAATTAGGAATCCGCAGATACACGTGGGTTATATTAAATACTATTTTTTTTTTGTTTTCTTTTGAAGTATAAACCATGTCAAATGGTGGTGGAGATCACGATGACGAGGGATATGTCGTCAAGATACGTGGACTTCCATGGTCAACTACAGTTGACGAAATAATGAAATTTTTTGGAGATTGTTCCATAACCAATGGAAAAGAAGGAGTACACATGACTATGTCACGCGAGGGAAGACCCAGTGGAGAAGCTTACGTGGAGATGGATACTCCAGAAGACATAGAGAAGGCTTGCAAAAGAGACCGAGATCATATGGGACATCGATACATTGAAGGTATATAATCATTGCTATTTAGACTACGATGATTTATTGGCTATAAAAATACATAAGAATTTTAGCTATTGGTGACCGATGCAAAGACCTAAAATCTAAGGTCGGTTTGTGAGGACTAATATAGTGTTTAATATGTTAATTGAACCTATATGCATATATTCTGCTTATCTTATTAAAAATATTCTTAAGATGTAATTAACATATCTTATGTGTTACATTAATAGTTTTCAAAGCAAAAAGGGGAGAAATGGAATGGGTAATCAAACGAAGTGGCTTAAATTTAGAAAATGCAATGGATGATGGATGTGTCAGATTACGTGGACTACCATTCGGTTGTTCCAAAGAAGAAATAGCACAATTTTTCTCAGGTATTTCATATATTTTTATCTATATATTAATATAATTTGTTTTTCTTGTTCATGATTGACAGTTTTTACTAAGTACTATTAGCTTTTGGTTCAAAAAAATTGTCCAGCACATATTTCTTTCTTTAACTTTAAATAGTCTCATTTCTTAAGGCACATATTGCTAAAAATAAATCATAATATTACTATAATTCTGAATCACAGGGACTAAATGCTTTTGATGGTGGTTCCACTGTTTAATTATAACTTGGTAATATTTCTATTTTTATTGTTAATGTGTAGCACTCAAATATATATGTGTGTGTGCATGTATTAACAATATACAATGCAGCAAATGATAAAGAAAACTTTACTATTATAGTATAAGAAATTTTCATATATATCTTTAATTAAATTTTCAATTAAAAAAATATAAAAATTTATGTATTATAGCTTTTTTTATCAATACAATATAATATATTGTTGTGACTATAAATAAATAACATTATTAACAAAATTTATTTTACATAAACATAATTTTATTAGGATCATATTTATAAATATATTCATTGTATTTAAAGATATATTTGTGTTAGTTCAATTATTAATGAGTATACATAATTTACCATTACCATTACCAATTATTAATACATTCAAATTTTAATCCATCCCAAGCAGTGTCTCTGTGTTTCTACGTATCATTACTATCCATTTTAGTTAAAATAACATATCATATCGTGAATTTTGTTTTTTAATTATAACGTATATTGATTCCATAAAATAGCATTGAACTGCTGAATTAAAATATAAAAATTCTGCTTCTACTTCATCTTTGCAAGAAAGAATATGAAATTGGAGTAAGACAATTTAATAAATATCTGCAAAGGCTAAGTAAATTGTGCTTAATAAGGGTTTGATAAGTACATTGATTCGATACTTTAACTCATAATTGGGTATTACGCTACAATATCGATGTTTGATTATGTGTGGGTCAGGGTTGGAGATATTGCCGAACGGGATTTCACTACCGACAGACTACACGGGCCGCAGTACTGGGGAGGCTTACGTTCAGTTTGTAAACAAAGATGTTGCGGAGCGCGCTCTGCAGAAACACAAGGAAAAGATAGGACACAGGTGGGGCACTGACGCTAGCTGGGTTTGGGTATATTTATGATTTTTCAATATCATTTTTTTATGATCATAGTATACGTAGGTATTTACATTTTGTTAGTCAATAGCGGGAATCAGTTTCTTTCAATATAGAAGCAGTTTCTTTAAATTAACTATCTTTACAAATTATTTGAAAAATGACACACAGTTTATTTTTATTCACTATTTAATGTTATGGTATACATCCTGGTAATTCAGGAAGTAACCGTTGTTTAAATAAATACAAACACTTATATCAAATGATTATGTAAAGAAACTGCCTCTTGGAGGGTAGAATCAAAATAAGGCTAAACATACGTAAGCAAAAGTACTGTTGGCCCAACTGAAACCTGTGGGTGGGTGCCGGGCGGGAAGTATCCCGTGACGTCGTCATCAAATCCCATGGGAGGTGGGTAGGGCCCCAGGATGGGTGGGCACTACAGAGGTAGTAAAGATCAATTTGATACTTCTGCCTCATACTAACAATTGTACTTTTCTTACAAAGCACAAGATATACATATCGTAAATTCTTAAATGTCGTAAATATTTGGACAAAATTTCTTTCTTTTTTTTTTTCTTGTATTTATTTTTTGTTTATTTTAATTATATAAAGAAGTAGAATATATAAACAATTAAAAAATTGTACGTATTGATTTATAATAAAATAAATTATAAGAAAATTCATACCGTAAAAAGTGCAATTGCAAGTGTTATTTGCCTGAAGATCTAGTATCACAAGAGCTAGGGTTGGCATAAATTCATCAAAGCAATGTCATCGTGGAAGGGTGTCAACAGAAATTTAAAATAAATGTGGAGGTGTAGTATGCATAGTTGTTTCATTATCAAAAAAATTGACTTAAAACATTAGATTTCCTATTTTATTAAAAAAATTTTTTTTTCTTTATACGAAAGCACTACTGTTCTTAACTTATTGAAGGTATGAATTTGAACACATAGTTTACAAATATTAATTGCCTCTTTTTCGAAGTTATATACTTTTCAATGTTTAATTACATTATTATCAAAAAATAATAGTCAATCAGTTTAATGTATAAAATATACTCATTAATATATTTAATTATTAACAGGTATATTGAAATCTTCCGAAGCAGTTTGTCTGAAGTACGTGCTAGCATAGGACCAAAAATGCGTGGGCCAATGGGTGGATTTAATCAAAGACCTGCACCATATGATCGTGGTGATCGTTTTGGAGGCATGAATCGTTTTAGTAACAATAGCAGAGGATCTAGAAATAGAGGTATTTGTTAAGTTTAAATAAATACTGAGAGAATTATAATTGTTGCTTAATTTTATATGCAATATATTGCAGATTTTGATAGTGGTCCTTGGGGAAGCGGAAATAACTTCAATTCACGTGGTAGTGGAATGGGTATGCGCGGTGGAATGGACATGAAAGGAGGAAACTTTAGAGGAAGTGGTGATAATTGGGGCAATAATACTGGTCTTCATAGTATACATATGAGAGGTTTACCATTCAAAGCAACAGAAGATGATATAGCAGATGTAAGTACATCGAAATTACTGCCAATTATAGTTATTTATTAAAAAGAATATGAATAAAACAACCGTTTACTAATCAAACATGTATTAATTTAGTTTTTCAGGCCTGTTGTGCCGATAAATGTTAAGATTCTCTTGGAAAATGGTGGGCGTCCATCTGGTGAGGCAGACGTGGAATTTGAAACCCACGAAGAAGCTGTTAGAGCTATGAGCAAGGTTAAATAAATTGTTAATTTTTTTAACTTTTTATTCTTTAGAGTACTGTTGAGTATTATTAAGTTATCTTGTAGAGTACTCTTCAAAATTCTGTGTTACTTGAATTATTATATAATTTCGACATATTTATAAATCGATATAGACGTATCTGTAAATAATATTTATATATTTGTGTAATGTTACAGGACAAAAGCCATATGTCTTACAGATACATAGAGTTATTCCTTAACTCAAGCAACAGCTCAAGTGGAATGTCTTTGGGTGGTATAGGGAACTTTTGTGGAGGTATATAAATTGTTTTTTTTTTTTTTAATTAATAATAATTTTAAAATATTGTTATCATGTTACTTACGCAAGATATATTGAATTTATTATATATAGTAAATTTTATTGTTTATATCTATTTCTAGGTTTGGGTAATAACTTTAGGCCAGGATATTCTCCAAATAGAGGATTCAGCAGTCAATTAGGGGGTAGCAATTACAACAGTTTTTGAG